CAGTGGGTAAGTGTATATCACATGAAGAGGCAAGAAGGAACATTGCAAAGTGTTTGCCAGAAGGCTTGGCACCTGAGCCAATAGTAAGCTCAACCATCAGGTGTTTGGGCTCATTTTGTAGCATATGAAAGGCAGAATGTGACCCAGCACCATTATTTTCCAGAGAATGCTTAAGATTTTACTGTGGAAGGTAACAAAAAGGTAGGAAGGAATGACATGGCAGAAATGTACTTTTAAGGCAGCTTTATTGAAAATATTTTTACAAATAAGACGGGGAAAACCAGTAATTTTAATTTACTTATTCCCAAGGATCACTCAGACTCAAGCCTCTGAAAAAGGGAACTGAAGAATTCTTGCTTTAAGGATTGTTTTGCTGGTTTTGATAGATGATGTGGAACCAGGAATATTAAAGAAGTCCTGTTCCAAAGGTTCCAGAACATATTTATCCAGATGAATATGAGAAGTTAAATTATAAGGGTGTACATTAGGAGAGGGATGACGCTTGTGACTCACTCAAACCATTGGTGATCTATTTTTGACCCCAGCAACTTAATCTTCTAAGGATATTTCAAATACTTCTCAGGTGTAGTTTAGTGAAGGCAAGAATAAATGTCAAATTCCCTATTCCTGCTGCTGACCTTCAAGTCATGGTTTTAAAAATTAGTCTTTTTCAGGTTAGTCTAACCAAACTGAAAGATTTTTATTTTTCTGGTTTTATGCTCACTTACATTTTATTCTTTTTAAAGTACTTTCAATATTCTTACTGGAGAGAAGAAACCAAAGGTTATTATTAAAACTTTTTTTCCTGAATTAAGGTATGTTCCTTTTATACTAAAGTAAAAGGAAACCAAAAGAGAGTATTTTATTAATATCACTCAAAGCATACAATCATATCTCCATTCAAGAAATAAATCTGTCATTCTGTAACCCACAGAATCTGGAAACCAGCCCTCAACCGTAGCTGAGCTTACAAGATTATGAGAGAAACTCCTGGAAGCCATAAAAACAAGATCAGTTGCTACTACTGCTACAGCCACTACATACACTACTGGGACGTGGGATGCTGTGTCAGTCCCTATAACTAAGCACTTAAAAAATTTTTTTTTAAATCCTCACCCGAGGACATTTTCCCATTTTTTGTTCAGATAGAGTAGGAGAAAGATAGAGGAAGAGAGAGAGAAACATCGATGTGAAAGGGACACACTGAGTGGCTGTCACCCTCACAACCCCAACCAGGGCTGGGAACAAATTGCAACCGAGGTATGTGCCCTTAGCAGGAACTGAACCCGGGTTTCTCTGGACCACAGGCTGATGCTCTAACACTGAGCAGAACTGGCATGGGCAGGACTTTACATTTTAACATCCATGTGGGAGATAGGAGATCTTGAATCCCTACAAATTGAAAGAGTTGAAATTGAGATTCTCACATAAAGCTCCAAGGCTCCTAAAAGAGTGACGCAGCCCTAGTGGAAAGGTAGCTAAAACAATAAAACAGAACAAAATAAACTAATGAACCAACACAGAGTAATGACAAGGAAGAATGTTTGGTATCAGCTAGGTAGAGAGGGACTGTGTCATCCTGAAAAATAGTATCCACAGGGTATGTCTTCACACTTTGTTTATGGTATAAAAGGAAATTAGGCCCTGGGTGGTGTGGGTCAGTTGGTTGGGTAATGTCCCATGCATTGAAGGTTGCTGGTTTGATTCCCAGTCAGAACACATGCCCAGGTTGAGGGTTCAGTCTCTGGTTGGGGTACGTATGAGAAGCAACCGATCAATGTTTCTCTCTCAGACTGATGATGTTTCTCCCCCACCACCCGCCATTCCCCTCTCTCTAAAATCAACAATAATAATAATAATAAATTACAACAACTGCATTTTATTTTTAAAAAACAGAAGGGGAAAATAGGAGATTTGGGACATTAAACTCAGATTAAGTTCCAAGACATGTGGTAAATAAAGTAAACACCAACCTGCTTTGAGCTAATTTGCCATCAATCTACATCCAGGAAAATTTAGCTGAGGATGGGTTCATAAAATAAATTTATAAAATATACAAAGAAACAATGCACTATGAGCAAGAGACAGAAGATAAAATAGAAAGATTACAAACCTCTCCGCCAAAATAATTTCAAATAATTTTATATCAAACAGATAATAAAAAACAAAAGAAAAAGAAAAATAGCAATTTTAAAAGTTGAAAAGTTCCTGTTCAGGAAATTGTACAAAATGAATTCCTAGATGATGAGTGAGGATGATTTTTCCACAAGTTCTGAAACTCTTTTTTTATTCCCCACCAAATATACACAGAAATCATAATACGACTTCCTAAGACTTAAAAAAATCATCCAATTAATATAGATTTTTGCACACTGAATTGTTGCAGTGATTGTATGAATCAAGCAATCAAAAGTCTGGCCGATCTCTGAGGCCTTTCAGAACATGTGAAAGATAAACACAAACAGTTCTCATTTTACAGGGCTTACTCTTCAACACCCAAGCATCCAGAACTGCTGCATTTTGCTCCAGTCAGAAATATGATCAAGAAAGTGTTTTCCAGAAAAAGAGGAAGGACCACATCCCTGATGTCTATCTTTAATTACTGCTTTAAATAGGTATTTCTGTACCAACTAATGTGTATTTTTATGTATCATACCTGTGAAAAGAAAATTATTTCTGAAGTCAACTTTAAAGTGCTTCATCCTCAGGTGAGACAGTAAGAACTGCTCTCAAAATCAGAAACAACAGATTGGTATCTAAACTAAATTGTTATGATTTAATAACCTCTCAAAATAAGTAAGATACGGTTAAAGAGTAAGTGGTAAAGATTGTAGTCATTAACAATATGACAATTCAAGGTGGACATATCTAAAAGAATGATAATTTAAATTTTCATTGCTAATTTTTGTGGCAATAACATTAAAGATATTTATACAGAAACAAGAGAGTCGGGAATGTTTCTGGTAGCTTTCTAATTTTAAAAAAAAGCTCGAGTTTCATGGGTTCTTGAAGTTCATTTACTTAGGATTTTGAACAGTGTTAAGATACAAAGGGAAATTACAGAATTTCCAGTTTCTTTACAGCACATAAGTTAAAAACTCATGAAAACAGAAAAATGCCAAGACAGTTTACTTTCTAACATCAATAACCTCTACCTCAACCTTAATCAAGCAAAAGATATTTTTTTCTTTTCTAGCTATCCTCTGGTTTACAATGAAGAATCTATCCAGTCTCTCACTAAGGTGCTGGGGGTATTACTAATTCTAAGAGTATTGCATTTCAAAAAAAAGAGTACCATAGTATGAAGACCCAAGTCTGTTTGTCCATTTATCCCTGGGCACCGCCTTGCACTATCAGGCCACAAAAAGTCTGACAACTGCTTATCAGAAGAATGAGTGTCTGAGCTGAGTGGATGAGTTTGGTACAGCCTTGCTTTACACTTATTTCAGTTCTGCAGAGTGGTTTGTATCTTTGACTTGTATTCCATATGGTTGCTTTATTTTTCTTTCTGTTGTTTAATTAAAATTTGATGTTTATTTAAAATTTGTTCTCACTAGCTTCTCCTATTTGTGGAACTGACCTGTCACTAGTTGTTAAATGACAACTCACAGGTGGGTGTAAAGAAAACAATGATCAAACGAATCACTGTTCTCTAACAAACCAGTGTTCTTTGGGGTACAATCACCTGTAGTCACACCAAAACCAAGATTGTCTTTTCAAAGAGTGACTGACAAAAAAGCTGCAGGTCATCACCCTACTAAGGAAGAAGGCTCCTGAAATAGTGATAACACTATGAATACTAATGCCAATGGAAGCCAGTCTGTTGAGCAAACAGGTGACTTACAAACATTTATGGTAAGTTTCTACCTGTCCTAACTGCCTTGCACTGTTTGCTTTGCTGCTATGGTCGATTGTGTTGAACTAGATGTTCTATTGTTCCAAGAAACCAGAAACCTTCCACACACATTCAGGAAGAAATGGCCTCAAACACTGAGCTGGGTGGGAAAGCCATATCTCAAAAGTAGGGATCAGGGTTTTGATTTGTCCAACGACCCTATTAGAGAGCTAAAAATAGAAAACAAATACTGAGGACGTTGGTGACTAAACCTCCCCAGTACATATCTGGATCAACTGTCAAATTGTGTAACTTGATCTGACAGGCATACAGAGAGCAAATTATATAGCACAGGGCAATGTTGCAGAACATGGACTATGATAACTTGTTACAAGCCATATTCTTATGTGCTAATGACTTTAGAGTAACTGATAAGCCTCAGATAACTTTTGATTAAAAGTATAAAAATATAATGATTATTTCCTAAGATTCTAGGTGATGCTACATTAAAAAGGAATAATTTTGAATTGGGAAGAATACATTGATAACATTAATGATAAAATAGCATGATAATTACAGGAGAAGAGAAAAATGTTTAAAAGATAATATGGAACTTATCTGCAAGTCAATCAAAGAGGGCACTTTTATTTTTCAGAACCAGTCATAACCTTTGACGCTCTGACTGCTACTTTCCTAAATCCAGGACTGAAGAGGTGTGACATAGAGGAGTCCCTTTGAATTTAATATGGAATGGGTTTTAAAATTCTGAGAAGACAAGATTAGGGACTATAAACCATGCTAGTTTTAATTGGTTTGCAGCCCCAAAGCAACAAAATTAACCACTGAGTAACTGATTCATATGAATGAGGCAAAAAATAAAAATAAAACAAGAAACACATGTACAGTGAGTGACATATACCTTGGAGGCATTTTGTATATTTGAAATTTCATTTGCATTTTTAGACAATGGAGCAAGCAACTCTTTTGCAGGCTGCACTAAAACATAAATACACCATTGAAGAAATCAGATTAGGAATTTCAGCATTCATTTGATGTTTCTGGAAGTCAAGGAAAGTAGCCAATTAAAAAATAACTCAAATACTGCTTTTTTTTTTTTTTTTTTTTCATGTTCAGCAAGCATATAATTAATTGCAGAATACCTTACCTGGGACTGGGCTCTTTCTTGAACTTAAGTTCTGAGACTCCACAATCTCTTCTGTTTGCCCGTCTGCTTCTACCTCTATTTTGTTCTGAATCTCTTTTGCATCTTCACCAAGGCAAGTTCTTATGCTCTCATTCTCTTCTAAGACTCTCTGGACTGCAGTGGGAGCACCAGCAGCACTAATATCAGTGGCAGCAGCAGGAACAATGACTGGTGCAGGAGGAGAAGCTGGAGGAGTTGGAGGAGATGGAGAAAAGGAAAGAACTGTGGGAGGGGTGATGGGAGCTGAAACACACTCCACTTTCATTTCTTCTGGAGGATTTTCCAGAATCTCCAATTCAAGAGTCAATGGCAACACCTCCTGTTTTACCAATTCCACAATGCTCTCTGTGGCTGGTAATTTTTCACTAACTCCATTCATTTCATTAATTAGGTTAGTACTAGAAATCAGTGGAATATCATTAGGTGCTACACTACAAGATTTCTTGCATATATCATCATCAATTATATCTGTTTGTGAAGGATCTGATGTTTCTGTGCAAGATGTGGGGCTTGGTATAGAAACTGCGTCTTCTTTTGAGGAGGAGAGGTCACATCTGTCATCTGGAGCAGTGGTGAATATTGGCTGGCTACTAAGAGCAGCAGAGGTGGGGGAAGCAACTGTACTTCGAGCAATTGGACAAACAACAGTTGGTGATGGAGGCAGAGGAAGCTCTGGTATGGACTCTACCGCAGAAGTCTCAGACATCTGGCCCACTTGTTCTTTCTTCTCCCCACTAAGTACTAGCCTAAGCACTGGGGAAGGAGCCTTGAACACTGGATCTGGTTTTGGCTTCTCCTCTGGGAAAGAAAGAGAAAAAGAGTTTAAAGAATAATTCTTGGATCAGAGATTATTTTGCTTTATTTTGGGCCAATTCTTTTCATCTCTTACCCTAAATCATAGGTAGCAGGAGAAAGACCAAAATATTAGACATCTGCCACTTCAAAAACACTGTGAAATTTTTTTCTAGTTACACCCATTATTACACGGTCTCCAATACATATATGGTTAATTTTGGGGAAAGATAAGGAATCAATTCACCAAATAATTATTATGTCAAGAGTACAATGAAAAAGCTCATCAAAACTGAAGCTAAACCAGTCTTGGAAGGGGAGTGGGGCTTTTCTTTAAGGTAGAGATACCTTCCATCTCAACTGTATCTTGTTCCCTATAGCAATTTTTTCTATCAAGAATATACTATAGTGGCAGGACAGTTCAAGGGCAAACAGAGATTAATTATAGACTAACATTTTTATTCTATATATTTCTACACTTTGGGGAATTTTTATAAAGAACATGTATTGTTCATTTATCATCAATGGAATTTATTATCAGTAAAATCGAGTTCCTCAACATAAAACTTCATTTAGAAATTAACTTTCACTTTTCAAAAGAGGTATATAAACAGAAACATTAAAGGTATAAAATTGGAAATTTAGTCTTGTGTCTTCATTGTAAAAATAAATTATTTAAGGAGAAAAGAAAGTTAATATTCAGATAATCAAGTCCAATAAAAAAAGAACATTTATGTATGAAACATTTGAGAATATGTAAAATGTGTCTTTGTATAGACACATAAAGAATAGCAAGAGAGAAATAAATTGATAATTATAATAAAGGTACCAGAAAATGTAAGAAACACTAATTCATGAAACTTTCCATCTTTGAAAAGTCTAGGTAAACGGATCATGTGATTCATCCTTGTGGGGATGAAACCAAAGGAGATTCAGATTTTTTCCTAATCTTGTGCTTCCTTAGCACAATAAATAGGCTCCAGTAGAAAATCAGATAAACAAGAGTATGTTCATCAAATGCAAACAAAAATTTTAAGCATTACTAAAATACAATCTAGACTGAAAAGGACTTTACTTTCTCTGTCAGAAATCTTTAGGCATCAAAGAAAATAAGTCTTTGCAATAAACTGTAGTGAACTAAGTCTGTCAAAGAAAATATGCTCTGTTAATCAGATAAACAGACGGTAAATGTTACCAAGGAGCTGTAAAAGGCTAGTTTATTCACTGCAATTACTTTTACTGAACTTAAAATAAACTATAATTTATGGGCACAAAGGTCAGTGCTTCTTAAATTTAACTCCGCCTATTTATTGTTGTGGAGAAATAAGATCAATAGGCTCTCACTGCCAAAATCCTCAGACAAAGTTGCCAAGGAAAGAAACAAAAATATTTAGAAGAAATATATCTTTTAGCCCCGGCCGATTTGGCTCAGTGGTTAGAGCGTCAGCCCGTGGACAGGAGAGTCTTGGGTTTGGTTCCTGCTAAGGGCACATACCTCGGTTGCAGTTTGTCCCCGGACCAGGTTGGGGTTGTGTGGGTGGCAACCACTCTATGTGTCTCTCTCACATTGATGTTTCTCTCCTCTCCGTCCCTCTCTCCCTCTAGCTCTATCTGAATATAAATGCAAAAATGTCCTCGGGTGAGGATAAAAAAATAATAATAATTTCCAATTCACTGGAGTAACTGCAGATGGGCTAGTTACCCAGATGTCAGGACACCACTGTGAAAGCACCTCAGAACAACACTCTTCATATCTAGATGAAGGGCAGTAAATTACACAGTGGAATAGTAAATTACACAGTGGAAAAAATTAATTCTCACATTAACAATAAGAGTATGTCAATTCAATGATTAATTTCAGGAAATAAAAGTTGTGATACTGCCCTGGCCGGTTTGGCTCAGCGGTTAGAGCGTCGGCCTGCGGTCCTGAGAGGCCCGGGTTCGGTTCCCGCTAAGGGCGCATACCTCGGTTGCAGTTTGTCCCCGGCCCTGGTCGGTCGTGCGGGTGGCAGCCACTCGATGTGTTCCTTTCACATCGATGTTTCTCTCTCTCTCTCTGTTCCTCTCTCTCCCTCCCACTCCATCTGTACAAAAAATGGAAAAATGTCCTCGGGTGAGGATAAAAAAAAAAAAAAAGTTGTGATACTAAAAACAATCAAACAAAAGGAGAACTAGGACTGAAACTTCTATATACACCTGAAAAAACATCTATCATTAATGAAAAACATTAGAAACAAAAAGTTATTTTGAGAGCTCCTTATTCTGACATAAAAGTCCTTTAACTTATTCATTAGAGCTTTAATATAGAGCCCTGGAGGGACTCAGTTGGTTAGAGCATTGTCCTGATAGGCCAAAGTTGTGGGTTCAATCCCTAGACAAGGTACATATAAGGATCAACCAATGAAAGCATAAATAAGTGAAACAACAAATTGATGTTTTTTTCTCTCTCTCTAAAATCAATAAATAAAAATAAGATTTTAAACCTCTAATATAGAAAGCTGAAAAGTATAATACAGATCTAAATAAAGAAAATAGATGTTATTAAGATTATGCTTAGCAGAGCCAAGATAATTTGAAATCTAATATACTGCATTAAACATGTTTATAATATTTGGCCATCTTTAGGAACTTGTGGGAATTCCATTTTTAAGAATTTTTTCTAAGAAAATAATCATGCAAGAGTGAAAAAAGACATATAGTTCTGGAATATTTAAGGCAACACTATAATAGTAAAGAAAAGGAAACAGACTAAATGTGTAACAATGAGAGATTTATTAAAGAAATGAGGGTCCGCCTGCCTGGTGTGGCTCAGCGGTTGAGCATCGACTCACGCACCAAGAGGTCGCAGGTTCAATTCACGGTCAGGGCACATGCCCAGGTTGTGGGCCCAACCCAATCCCCAGTGGGGGGCATGCAGGAGGCGGCCAGTCGATGTTCTCGCTCATCGATGTTTCTCTCTCTCTCTCTCTCTCTCTCCCTCTCTCTAAAAATCAATAAAGAAAAAAAAATTTTAAAGAAAGAAGAAATGAGGGTCTGGCATATCATGGTATATTATTCAATCATTTAAAATAGACTTTTTTTTTTCATGTTTTACAGTCCATTTATTTTTTACATGAGTTTATTGTAAAATAGACTTTTAAAAGAGTATTTAATGATATAGAAAGTTTGTAATAAAAGTTTTTTTTTTTAAAGCAGAGCACAAAACTGTATGTAGAACATATGCCTAATTTGGTAACTTAAAAAAACATATACTACTGCCCTGGCCAGGTGGCTCAGTTGGTTGAGCATCATCCCATGCACCAAAGGTGGCAGGCTCGATTCCCAGTCAGGGGCGTACCTAGGTTTGATTCCATTCCCAGTCGGGGAACATGTGGGAGGTAACCAACTGATGTTTCTCTCTCTCTCTCTCAAATCAATAAACATATCCTCAGGTGAGGATTAAATAAATAAATAAAAATTTAAAAATAAAAAATATTTAATAGTAACATATGCAGATGGGAAAGTCTTGGGCAGTTTATTAACAATGGTTCTGGACAATGAGATAAGAGATATTTTTTCTTTTTCATTATATGTAATAAATACAATGAGTGACATATAGGAAAGAAGAAACAAACTACTCCTTATTCTCATACAGTGGTGGAACCAACTGCCTATTGGTTGTCATGAGTCTCATGTGACTGACAGGGTGCTACTATCATGTAATGAGCACAGACCATGAATACTAAGCATCCTGCAATATGGGGGACAGTTTCATTACACAGAAAACAGTATTGTCCTGAATGCCAGAACAACCCCAACTGAGGTACACTGCTATAAATGACTGAATTACAACAGAATACCATTCACCTAACACCTTACCTACCCAACACCAAATGCTTTCAAAAGGCACTAAGACTGCCCTGGCCAGTTTCGCTCAGCGGTTAGAGCGCCGGCCAGCGAACCAGAGACACCTGGGTTCAGTTCCTGCTAAGGGCAAGTATGTCGGTTGCAGTTTGTCCGCGCCCTGGTTGGGGTCGTGTGGGTGGCAACCAGTCGATGTGTCTCTCTCACATCAATGTTTCTCTCTCTCTCTTCCTCCCTTTCTCTCTCTCACTGTCTGAAAATAAATGCAAAAATGTCCTCACCAATTAAAAAAAAAAAAAAAGCCCTGGCCAGTATTGCTCAGCAGTTAGAGCGTTGGCCTGCGGTCCAGAGAGACCTGGGCTCGGTTCCTGTTAAGGGCGCCTACCTCGGTTGCGGTTTGTCCCTGGTTCTGGTTGGTCATGTGGGTGGCAGCCACTCGATGTGTCCCTTTCACGTGAATGCCCCCACCCCGGAACAAAAAAATGGAAAAATGTCCTTGGGTCAGGATAAAAAAAAAAGGGCACTAGGACTGAAGCACAAAAACCTTTTTATTTGTATTTAATTATCCATGCCATCCTCAATACACTGGGCTGAAATGTACTTTCCCCAAAACAGCAAATAACAATCATTAAAGTGGTGTCTTTATACAGTCAATACCAGCTGAATATTTTAATTCATTCAATAGCCTTTCTCTTTATAAACCGAGTTGAGGTCTTTTCCTGTGTCTTTAGGTCATCACGTAACCACTCTAGCTGTTCATGTCAAAAACCTTGAGAAAACAAGCTTAATAGCAGCTGACATATATTAAATAAGCACTTATTATGTGCCATGAACTGGGTCAGATACCATACATACACACTGTCCTTTAACTCCTACAACTGCCACTGGGGTAAAAATGATTACGTTCATATTTTACAGATGAGAAAACTGAGGGATTTACAAATTAAGTCACAGGTCCAAGGTCATCTAGGTAACAAGTTCTAAAACCTGTAAATGATTTCAAATCCCACATTCTTTCAATTTAGAAAACAAAAAGGCTTATGAAAAAAGAGGAATTTAGGTAACTCAAAATTATTGGAGACTTTGGGCTAACATGGAAACCATCAGAAAAAACATTTCCAGTAGACAGAAAAACCAATCTGATGGCAGAATACAAATCTATTGATTCGGGTATTACAGCAATCTTTGAAAATTTCATGTTTTATATCCTATTTCAATTTCAAAAGGAATCTATAATTTAAAAATTTTACATTTCATAAAAATTATTTGCTGAAGCCCTGGCCAGGTAGCTTAGTTGTTTGGCATGTTTCCATACACCAATAGGCTATGGGTTCAATTCCCGGTCAGGGCACATACTTAGGTTGTGGGTTTGATCCCTGGTCAGGGCACATATGGGAGGCAATGGATTGAGGTTTCTCTATCACATCCATGTTGTTTTCTCTCAAAAGTAATAAAAAATTTTTAAAATAAATAAATAAACACTCCTCCAAAAACTATTCTATATACTGGCAAGTTATTGTTAGAATTTCAAATAGAAAATTGTAATTAGTACTGAGTTTTCAGAAAGATATCTGGTACTAAAAGGAAGATTGTTGTAGTCCCAAAGAATTACTTATCAGTTTTATGAAATATACTTAAAATGAAAGTTTTTTTTCTTTTCATCAAGGTAACCTGAAATATTTTCCAGTTCACCCATATCTATATCATATGTCGATTTAAAATGTTGATTTTATTATTCAAATTTCCACTAAGCATTAAAAGCTTAGAGGAAACCTAGAATTCAGCATTCTTCCTCCTGAAAATCAAGGATTGTATGAGACAAATGTGTCTAACAACCTAAAAAATCTTAGCGGGTTGGGTTGCGTCTATCATCAAGGAATACTATGAATTCTTTATCATGGCCCACCTAGAGAGAGTCTGCACAGATGATATATTTTAAGGCATTTTTGCATGGTAAATATTCAATATGCTTAGCACAATTCTAACTAGCAAAATGGTTATAACTGTACAAAAGTAATGAAGTAGTTTTGAAGGGAATAACCTAAAAATTATTCTCCACTCAAATTGAAAGCATTCTGAATTTTGACTGAAAACTGCTTTATCACTAGGGGTAGGACGCAGTTTTCCCAAATACCTATGACCTGTACCCCTGCAAGGTAAATGACTTAAATATTCCAAAATTTAGCTTTAAGAAAGCGGGAGTCTCTAACTTTGAACAATGCTGAAAGAATTATTTGACAGAGCAACTATTAAAAGCATGTCAGGTTAGGATTTGTTGTTTTGGCCTAAAACTATCTTATAAAACAAATATAACATAGGATTTATGTCTCTTCAAGTTTATTCAGTTCCTCAATACTCAAGGGAAAAAAGACAATTGTATTATATTTGTATTCTATAAACAATACTGAAATTATACATTAGAAGTTTATAAGTGTTTAACTTGCAGTCCCGTAAAACACCAATAACATTAAATACCTCCTCTTTGATTATGTGCCATTTCCCAAATGCTTTTTAAGGAATAATTTTTAGAAAGTGTATTTACTAACAGCTAGCTATAGATTATTAAAGGATTTAAAGAAATAAATAGTTCAAAAAAAATAACTAATATAATTTTGATTCAGTCTTAGAATGATCAGAAACATAAATAGCATGCTCCAAGTCACTTGCTTCTCTGTACCTAGTGAGAACTGTTTCCCAATTTTAGCTAAGGTCAACCTAAGTCGAACTAGGCAGAAAAGACAGATTGCAATATTCCACTTTCTGGCACACGATTTCCCTTAATGTTTTCTATTATAGATCCAAAAGGATTTATTTCAACAAACATTTGGAACACCACATTCAAAGTCAATAGGAGTAAAGACCTTAGTATGTTTCCTGCATCAGTATTATGGCTATAATTTAAGCACTTTTCATACATGAGGCTTGTCTCCACAACAACCTTGTGAAGTGTGAGGTAGGTCTTCTTTATTCTATTATGTAAGTGAAGGAATTAAGACACAGCATAATGACTCACCGAGACCAAATAGCTAGGGCATGATGGAGTCAGTATTTGAATTCAGTACTATCTCCAATTGAGGCCTTAAAAACCAAACTTATATAAGAAGAAACATTTTATGTTTTTAAAATAGTAGGAGACAGGAACGTTTTGAATATAAATAGAACTGTGTTCTTCTTGTAAAGCAATATATACTTTGATTTGTTCTCCCAACCTTGTTGCAGAAAAAGTTTAAGGCAGCTAAGCTTTTATAAATATATACTGACAATGAGGCATTAATAAAATGTAGAAAAAAGTTTTATTAATCACCCTTACTTTACTTCCCTAGATGTTGAACGCTTTAATTTCCAAACTCAAAGCTTTGTTTAAAGTGGGTATCTAAATAATCCTCAAATGTCTTACGCTCACTCTTAAATGCTAAGGGTAGTGTATTCATATAAAAAGAGACTAAAGATAAGAGGGAGGAAAACGGTCATACACAAACCTTGCTTCTGGTCGCTAGCTGCAGTGACAGGGGTGCTGGCAGCAAGATGAACGCTCTCCACAGTCCCATAAACCACAGGGCTGTGCTCTGGGACCTGGCTGGGCAGCTGCTGGGATTTGAAGTACAAAAAAGGGTGATAATGAACGTGCGAACATAAAAACTAGCAATATGGAATCCAGGCCAAGTGGGGAAGACAGAGTGGGACAGGAGATCACAAAATAAAATTTAAAAAAAGGAAAAAATACATAGGCCAGTTTAATAAATTCAAAAAGTACATGGGAAGATGGGGAAGAAAAGGAAAGAGGCAGCAGGAAAGGGGAAGGAAAAGAGATGATTACTATTAATTACAGCAAGAGAAGACTGCACAACATCATTAGTAATGCATTCTGCAATGTTCCTTCTAAGGAGAAAGAGGCTTTCAACCTAACAATACATTGCACATCTGAGAGGGAATTTAACATCCTCCCAAAGACCAAAGGGGTTTGGTCAATTTCACTTATAATCTACCTAGCAAAGTAGTTCATCTACCAAAAGCAGGACAAACAAAGCATGATGGGTTTTAAAACCAGTTACTGATTCAAGAAAATAATACTGAAGGGTGATTCTTGTCATTTGTCCATACAATCACATAGTAAAATGCAACTTGCCAAATCTTTAAAAGCACTTTCATCTTTAAAATGTCTTTAGCTTCTAAGTCAAGGATGATATCTTTTCACAGAAATCAGAATAAAATATCTGGCTCTTCAGAACTTAGCTGAAACTTTGATTTTCACTCAGCCAGTAACTGAAATAAAAAATACCCATTAAAATCCTAGCAGATCAGGTCGAAAAACCTGCAGCCATTGTTCAACTTAGAGGGAACAAGAAAGGACACAAACACTCATTCTATATCACACTGCAGGCAGGTATTTGTTCTGGATTTGAGGGTTACACAAAAGCTACAAAGTGAAGCAGTGTCTCTCCTCGGAGATCTAAGGTCAAGGTTTTGACACATATCTCCTACACTGAATTCTATTGGTGCTATCAGAGCAGAGCTCCCTGCATAATTATGATTTTCTCTTTGTTTTGTTTTGAATTTTTGGGGTGGGTGGGTGGGATTAAGGTATGGATGATTTGGGGTGGACAGAGCCCCTTAAAAGTGAGAGTTAATAAAAACATTTTCAAGTCACTTAAGTCTCATGTACAGTGGGAATATAAAATAAAATATATCATTTTAGACATATCATTTATGTTATTTCAGCTATTCATTATGTTACAAAACTGCACATATTCCAGTTACTTCTAAGTGAAGACCGCTAAAATTATATTTCCACATATAAAAAATGAAGTTACTATTTTCATTTTGAATCATAGCCAAATAAATGAACAGTAGAGCCATGACCACTCTACTTTGAATCCATAGTTCCACGGGGGGAAAATTGTATTACTAAAATTCAAAAATTAGAAAGGCTTTATAGCTATACATAAAAATACAGACTCAGGTCAATTCTATGGAAAGATTCTATGCTACTTAGCATTTATTAAGCAGTTATCCACATCCCAAGAAAGAAAGAGCTATAAATTATGTCATTTACCAAAAAGGAAGATAATATTAACTACTCCAATTGCCTAGGAAATTAATAATAAACAAAAAGAAAAAGGGGGGTGGGTAATTGCTAAAAGTAGGTTGTCAATGACATCCACAAGTAAAGTGAGATATTCAAGACAATAAAAGTCTACTGATATCTATAAATATGTACAGATCGGAGAGTTTTTCAATCTAAGATTAAAATACCTTTAATGATATTAAAGAGAAAATTGCACAGACATTTTTAAATTAATAAAGTCCTAAGAAGATCTTAAGTATGCATAAAACATTTATAAGAAAAATGGTAACATGGTTAAATCATAGTTCCAAATCCAGGTAGGCATCCAGTACATAGTTATATAGCCAGAAAATAATAGAAAATCACTTCTCAATTTCCTTAAGCTGTAAAAATGAACAGAAACTAAAAATTTCAACTTTATTATTCTCTATACCTCTGATAGTACCAAGAAAATAACATATTAACATACTATATAATTCAATACTTCAATCTTGTTTTAGATTCGTTTTTTGTTTCGTTAATCCTCACAAGAGGATATTTTTTTCCATTGATTTTTAGAGAAAGTGGAAGGGAGGAAGGGAGAAAGAGAGAAAAACATCAATGTGAGAGAGACACATCAATTGGCTGCCTCTTGTACAACCCTGACCAGGAGCGGGGATCGAACCTACAACCCAGGCACATGCCCTTGACAGGGAATCGAACCTGGGACACTTTGGTGTGCAGGCTGACACTCCAACCGCTGAGCCAAACTGGCCAGGGCTAAGATTATTTTTAATTTAGGATAGTTTCAAACTTTAGCTTAACCTCTAATTTCAATTCTTCTCTCCCAATGAAATAACTATAGAGTCGGTTATAACAGAGTTCCTTATCTTTCCAAAGCACAAACAATTATGGCTTATTTTATCAAACTGGTAAATCAGAAAAATCAGGAAACACACTGGGTATTGGGTCTCAAAACATCACATCTAATGCTGTATGAATTCTGATACCCTTAAGGAAATGACACTCTTGGGTAGCTAGAGAACTTGGGTATATAATCTACACTGAGAATATTTTAAGGAATTTCAAAATCACTGCACTTCAGTCACTTTCATTATAGGTGAATATGAAAATTTATAAAAATAATTCTAAGAGGACAATTGGTATCAAAATATAAAATAATTCTGTAAAGATGATCAGGAAGTCAGAGTTAATTGGCAGGGAAAAAAATATCACTCAAATACAGTGCTAAAAAAACTTAAATATGGCAAGATATTAAATACCTGACAGTATCCAAGAAATTAATTTCCTTTAAAATTCTACATGAGTATCTATTCTGTTAAAGATTTATATATTAAATTTGAAGTGCTGGTCTTAAGGGATAATGGTACATTGGGGCCAAATACTGCAGGAATTAAGGTTTTAAACAGAATGCTTACCAACAGGTGAAACAGGCAAGAAAATCTTGAATTGTCCTCAAGTACTTCTTCATACAATTTAAAATTCATCTCTTTACATAGCCCACATTTTTCCTACTCAGAGGCCACCTTCCTTTACTATCTATTTTAATCTTGCATGTGACAGGATGCTTAAATACAGAGGTAATTATGGATGGGGAGTCACCAAACCATGGCCCAGAGACGACATATCTGTTTTTAAACTGCCCGTGAGATAAGAACCTTTTTACATTTTTAAAATAATTGATGAAAAAAATCAAAAGAACAATATTTCTTTACACATTAAAGAAAAATGTAAAGATACTTACATTTTAGTGTCCATAAATAAAGTTTTATTGAAACAACCACAGCCATTCATTTACATATTATATATAAGGCCGCTTTCATACTACAACGGCAGCGATAAAAGAAACTATGGCTGCAAAGCCGAAAATATTTACTATTTGACCTTTAAAGAAAATGTTTGCTAACTCCTATTACAATTCATAAGAGAAAGCCAAGGACTCCAAATAGTTATATAAATATAAGCAAGATTCTGATGTAATTTATTACCTTAAGATGCTACTTATATGCTTCGTGTTTCATCATTTTAGGTATATAGCTGACCCTTGGTATCCCTGGGGATTGGGTCTAGGAGTTTCCATGAATATCATAATCTGGGGATGTTCAAGTGCCTTATATAAAATAACGTAGCATTTGCATAAAGCCTACACACATCCTCCTGCATATTTTAAATCATCCCTAGGTTACTTAAAATACGCACTGCCATGTAAATAGTTGTCATACTGTACTGTTTAGAGAATAATGACAAGAAAAAAGTATACATGTTCAGTACAGACACAACCAACATAGGCCTAACCATAGTACATGTCAGCAACAAAAACACCTTTTCTGAACATTTTCAACTTGTGGTTGGTTGACTCTGCGGATGTAGAATTGGTGGATGCAATGGGCTGACTCTAAATGATTTTTCAAAGACCCATTCAATGACTTTAAAATAATCCTTGAACAAATATCTCATGTTTAACATATATAAATCCTGAGGAAAACCGAGTACATCCCTCACTGAGAAACATCAAGAAGTAAAATAATAATAAAGGGAAAAAGGACAAAAACATGCTTCTTTACTAAGTGGGGGAAATTCTCCTACATTCAGTCATTAGAGAGGTGTGTGTGTGTTTCCCCCTGGTGTTTTCCATGTACAAAACATTGAGAACCCACTGGTACCTAAAACAGATGAAAATCCTTAGCTTCATGGAGTTTATATTCTATCAAGGGAAACCTATTAAAGAATAAACTATATACATATATGCATATTCAGTCATAAAAAGAACAAATCTTGCTATGTGTGACAACATGGATGAAACTTAAGGGCATTATGCTAAGTGAAATAAGTCAAAAACAAATATCGTATGGTCTCACTTATATGAGGAATCTTTTTTTTTAATCCTCACCCGAGAATATTTTTCTATTTATCTTCAGATACAGGGGGAGAGAGGGAGAGAGATAGGGAGAGAGAGAGAGAAAAAAAACATCGATGTAAGAGGGACACATTGACTGGTTGCCTCCTGCACAACCCTGACCAGGGCTGGGCACGAACCGCAACTGAGGTACGTGCCCTTGACCGGAATTGAACCCACGACTCTTTGGTCCACAGGCCGACGTTCTAACCGCTGAGCCAAACTGGCCGGGGCATAAATCTTAAAAACAAACAAATGAAAAAACCAAGCTCATAGAGATACAAGAATACAATGGTGGTTGCCAGAAGCAGGGGGTTGGGGTGGGTGAAATGGGTAAAAAAGTCTAAAGGTAAAAAACTTCCAGTTATAAAATAAATAGGTCATGAGGATATAATGTACAGTATGATTATATTTAATAATAGTACTGTATTGCATATTTGAAAGTAGCTGAGAGTAGCTCTTAAAAGAGTTATTTCTCATTATAAGAAAAGAAACTTTCTGCCCTGGCTGGTTTGGCTCAGCGATTAGTGTCAGCCTGTGGTCCACAGAGAGCCAGGTTCGGTTCCTGCTAAGGGTATGTACCTTGGCTGCAGTTTGTCCCCGGCCCTGGTTGGGTTGTGTGGGTGG